AACTGGCTGGGGCAGTCCCGGTCCCGCCGTCGGGCCATGGGGAGAAGTTCTAACACCGGAAGAAGTAGCCGCAAGCGGATGGGGCGCTGTTTTGGCACTGGAAGAAGGCGGTGGCGCTGCTACAACAGAGGCTGGTGCCGCCACTGGAGGCGATTGGGGAGCCAGAGGCGGCAGGGGGACCTCAACCGAAGGTGGATGGGGACAACCAGCTCCCGCCTATCCCAAAGCTCCGGGACTCCCTCCTGGAGATGTCGCGGAAGTCGACCCGTACTGGGCAACACGTGGCACCAGCTGGGGGGGGCCTTCCTTGCCAAACCAATACGCTCCTGACACACCAGAGCCAATGCAAGAAGAGTCAGAGGAAGAGGTAACTTATAAATTCTTCGGGGGAGCAGCGCAATTACCAGAACCTACCGAGGAACCGCCGCTGCCAGAACAAGGACCACAACAGATTCAGGTCATCAGCGCCGAGTACAGTTACTTCAGAATCCCCATGAAAGGACTTCCCGTCGCTGACTAGCCCGAGGCGCTGCCATCCCAGTACCTGCTTGTCACCGGCGATCAAGTTCATGCCGACGACACCGACGACATCATCGGAATTCCTCGCGCACTTCTGGAACGGGATTCCATTCGGGCCTTTGCAGCTGACACCGATGCCGTCAATGACACAGGACCTGGAAGGGAGCAGAACGACACAGAAGAGAGGAACAAATACTATCAAAAGACCGTCGGCTACCGTGGGGAACCAAAGACTTGGCATCAGCGGCTCGGCCACCCATCACACGCCACGCTCAAGAACTCTCTCAAGGCTGGCCTCTTCGACGACGGAACACTGCTTCTTCCACGCGGCGGATCCCTCACAGCGGACTCTGAAGACCCACCGTGCACCGTGTGCCTAGCTGCGTCGCTCGCCCACAAACCCTTTCCTGACCTACCCCCCGGCTACGAACGGTACAAACCGCTCGACAAAGTCTACAAAGACTTCATGAACCTCAGTCAAGAAGGGCTCGACGGCGAGTTCTACACGCTTACTTTCATCGACGCAAGCACCCGCTACGTCTGGGCCGTCAACACCGACTGTCGCTCCCTGGCCTTCGAGGTTTCATCGCATGGATGAAGCGGGCCGAACGACAATCAGGAATGAAGCTGAAAAGTTACCAGACAGACGGAGCCCTAGTGTTCTTCTCGACCGAATTCACGGAGCTCTTCAAGCAAAAGGGGATTGAACACCTGGTGTTTCTGCCCTACGCTCACAAGTAGCAAGGAGTAGCAGAACAGACAAACAGGAGCCTCACTACAAGGATGAAATCCCTGATGAAGCAGCCGTCCCAACCAATTATTGGCCGTTTGCGATGAACCACACTGTCCGGCTGCACAACTTTTGTCCTCACGAAGCCTCGAGAACAACAACTCTCCTTACAGGGCTTGGATTGGCAGAAAGGCGGACACCCGTCTGCTTTGGGTGTTCGGCTGCATGGTACAGTACAGGCTTCACACAGCAAGGACTGGAAAATTTGCTAGCCTGGCTCGCTGAGGCATTCACATCGGAATCGAAAAGAATACAAGGCGTGGATCGTGCTGGACTACGTGACACACGAAGTGACGAAATCACGTGACTACATCTTCTACGAGAAGCTGACTCTGCCACTGTTCAACGAACACCGCGAAGCTGACAGTGCACCAAAAAGGGTTTTCGAGGGACACCACACCTTCGCATCTCCAGACGATGAAGCTGGCCTGACAGAGGACGCCAACGCAGCAGAAGTCAACCAATTTGACAGCACACCCAACATCCCCCTTACAAGCCCATTCCAGACTCCAACCTTCATACCTGTACACCAATTCGATCCTAACGATAGGACTCGCGAAGCTCACAACTTCAACAGCGAGGCACGACGATCCCCGGATGCCGAGTTACCACCACCAAACACCTTGCAAGACGCCCTCCGTCTCAGCAACGACATCGACGATGATGTAGTCAAAGTAACCAGCTTTCATGACTACGATCGCCTGCACTACGAAAAGACCAACGAAACAGGTCTCCACATTCTCGGACTCGCAGTCGTTGTTCGCCACGACTCCCCCAATGAGCCCACCACTGTTCGCCAAACTCTATCTGGCCCCGACAGTGAGAAATGAAAGGCAGCCATGGCCAAGGAAGTCATGGCGCTCAAGAATCGCGGAACATGGAAGCTGGTTCCGTCAAACGTCAGCGAAGGGGAGAAAAATACTCAGCGGCAAATGGGTCTTCCGCATCAAAACACTCGCGGATGGCTCCATTGACAAATACAAGGCGAGATGGATGGTGCGCGGCTTCGAGCACACTCACATGGTGGACTTCGACCTCACCTACGCACCTGTCGGACAGCACACCTCAGTACGCATCCTCATCTGTATCGCACCCGTCAAACAACGTCCGCTCCGTCAGATCGACGTCGGCAGTGCATTCTTCTACGCTCCGGCCGACGCCATCATCTTTGGCGAACAACCGCATGCCTTCGAGGAAAATGACGGCGCCGTCTGCTAACTTCAGAAATCCCTTTATGGGATCAAGCAAGCAACTCGCATGTGGCAGCAGTATCTGCACACCTTTCTCACATAGCTCGGATTCAAACAACTGCCACACAACCTCGGGATGTACCGGAAGGAATCGCGCGGCAAATTCATTCTCCTCGTCGCCTACGTCGATGACCTACTTTACACCGGCGACGACACGGAGCTGCTGGACTAGTTTGAAGCGGACATCAAAGAGAAGCTAGAGGTTACCATCAATCACAACGTCACTCAGTTCCTGGGACTCAACATCACCCAGTCCGCCACCTCCATTCATCTCTTTGCCGCCAAATACGCCAAAACGCTCGCAAGAAATTCGACATAGCACCCATCAACCTCTCCACCCCCTTTCGCACTCCTCCTCCTAACCACGAACCGGACACTACGCCTCTCTCCCTCGAGAACCATCGGCTCTATCAGCAGCAGCTGGGGTGTCTCCTGTTCGCCGCCGTCACGTGCCAGCCCGATCTCTCCTACGTCGCAAGCCAGCTCGCTCAGTACATGAAGTGACATGAAGGGGAGAATCTACTGGATCTACACCGAGCACTTCAATACTTCGTCTCAACTCCTGACGTCGGTCTCACCTACAAAGCCAACCTCACCGCCACCTTGCAGCTGCATGGCTACGTAGACGCTGACCACGCGGGAGATGTTGACAACAGACGCTCCGGCACAGGATTCATTTTTCAACTCCAACTTGCAGGACTTATCTCATGGAACTCTCAGAAGCAGGAACTCATCGCCCTCTCGTCAGCCGAAGCTGAGTTTATCGCCGCCAGCGCAACTCGTTGTGAAGGATTGTACCTGATGGAGCTTTTGCAGGAAGCGAAAGTGACGATGATCGGGCACTTCACGTTACTCTGTGACAACCAGAGCGCAATCAAGATCGCGAACAAGCCCGGCTTTGTGAACCACATTAACAGGTTCGAGCACTGCGCCAACCTCTGCGGGATTACCAAGAAATCCCATGTTGCTCACCTTTATGAATAAAGGGGAGTGTTGGAATAACCGAAAGGTTTTTATAAGCATTCTCGAAGGTTTCCCATTAACGCGCCAGTTCTTAACAGAACAACGCGTTGTACCAGTACCGTAGAGGCTCATATAGAGCACGCGGAAGGTCGAGAGTCACCCGAAGGTCAACAGTCGAAGACAGTCAACGGTCATGACTCTTGACCGACCAGTAACCGCACGACTGTTAGTCGCTGCAACATGGTAACTATCGAGAATAGCAATAGTCGTGGTTACTGTAGTTATGCAATACAGTTAATAATGGAATGTATTCCTCAGAGTACATGGCTAGCTAGTTTGCTATTTAAACCCTTGTACTTCTATCCTATAATCATCGTGTTTTCTTTCAACTTATTAACAAGGTCATTAAGACTCAATTGTCTTCTCTCAGATTTAATAAATTTATCCTATCCACTTCGATCCTTCAATTATAACATCACTCGCTGCATTCATCTTCGCGTTAAAACTCAGTTACCTCAGGAATTGTTAACAACATTTCCATATCGTAACAGCTCGCAACATCGCATTACTGTTTTCGCTATAAACTATTCGCTCATGCCTTCTGTAATAAACTTAAGTGCTTGTAGAACTCCAGCAGTATTAATTACTTCTGGATTGTCTGGATGTGATACTTGTGAAGGGTGACACATGTCGGTGCTTCGAATCACTTGGCGTGCGAAGCCTCCCTACGCCACCGACAACTCCCTCCGTCAACCTAGACGTCCCACCGCATGCCGGTCCTGGTATTTGGCGAAGGTAGTGACTGGTGCAATGTGTGACCAACCAAGCGAGTCGGGTTACAGCAGTGTCAGATATGTCAGTTCCCAAAGACAGAAACTTGTTAGCGAAGCTTAGCGTGTCGGCGATTTGCGAAGGCTGATCGGCACCTGCTCACCAGCTTCGAAGAAAGTATGCGAATGGCGACATTCAAAATTTTATTGTGGAGGCTGGGACACTGAAGAAAACGTCGTCTTCCCTTGTCGTGGACTTCACCGTGCAGCACTCACACTTCCACGATGCGGTTATCACTCGCACATATCACGCTGAATGTCACACAAGAAACGTAAACCGTCCGATTTTCGATGTCGTGCCCAGTTTGACATCTCTCCGCCCATCCAAACCTCCTTCGAGTCGTGTACATGGTTTCGGAGTGCAAAGTCAGCTCCGTCCATCATGGCTCGCTCGGCCGTGGACCTGGTCGTCGTCGAAGTGTCAACCATGTTTGTTGAAAGCTGAAATGAACGATATTGTACGGGCAGTGTGTATTTTACCCTAAATGAACACGTCGAGTTCAGCTAGCTCGAGCTCCCATCACTTAACTCGAGAACTGACCCTTGATCTTAAAGCCCAAGACCTGAATTACAAAAAAAGGAAGGCAAACTGTGCACAGTTTGCCTTCCGAGCCCACAGTTGACTTCCCGAGCCTCTCTGGTTACCAAATGACGCCCCGCAAAACTGCAGAGAGTCGTAAGCCCAAAATTGGTTGGCGAGAGTCCCAACCGCTCCCTCCTGAAGGGAGTAGGGCAAGGCAAGCTGTGTACAGATTGGAAATTGTTGTAATTCAGGTCATGCTCGACCACATAGTAGTCACGTGAAACTCCTAGGTAGAGCAGAAAGCCAATAGAGCTGGAGCCCAATCCACCGGAAAAAAAAAAAAAAAAAAAACACCAAACAGATTCTATGCGATGGCGCCGCTTTTTACTCAGCGTCGTCGTCGAAACCCTGCGCGACCGCGCAAACGACAGTTTGCGGCGCATGCATCTCCTCTCCGAGCTCGATAATAGGTAATCAAACGGTCGATCGCGGTCATTTCCCGCGCATTCGCCCTATGTTTGCCTCAGCTACATTCCCCTCCCGCGCTTCCTAGTCGACGTCACACCCTGCCACCCACGCTTCCCCTCGTCGCCGTCGCCGTCCCCCACGCTTCCCCCCACCGTCGCCCTCGCTTCCTCCAGCTGTCGCTCACACTTTACTCCGTCGTTGACCACGCTCCCCCTCCCGTCGCTTTCGCTTCCTCCCACCGTCGCCCTCGCTTCCTCCCACCGTCGCCCTTGCTTCCTCCCACCGTTGCCTTCGCTTCCTCCAACCGTCGCTTTCGCTTCCTCCCACCGTCGCCCTCGCTTCCTCCCACCGTCGCCCTCGCTTCCTCCCACCCTCGCCCTCGCTTCCTCCCACCGTCGCCCTCGCTTCCTCCCACCGTCGCCCTCGCTTCCTCCCACCGTCGCCCTCGCTTCCTCTCACCGTCGCCCTCGCTTCCTCCCACCGTCGCCCTCGCTTCCTCCCACCGTCGCCCTCGCTTCCTCCCACCGTCGCCCTCGCTTCCTCCCACCGTCGCCCTCGCTTCCTCCCACCGTCGCCCTCGCTTCCTCCCACCGTCGCCCTCGCTTCCTCCCACCGTCGCCCTCGCTTCCTCCCACCGTCGCCCTCGCTTCCTCCCACCCTCCCCTACACTCCGCCGTCGTCATCACTTCCCTGCCTATCACGTTCACCCTCTTCGTCACACGTCGCCTCTCTCTCTCCCCCTATTCTACCTTCACCACTCCTACCGTCGTCCATGGTTACCACCCCACACTTGAACCCTTCTCATTCTCTCACATTCTCCCTTCTCCCTTGCTTCTCGCCCACACTAAACGCAGATATGTATGGCGCCTGAGCGCTGGGTATGGGGTCGTGAATTGTTCGCTGTGGGGTGTGTGAGGGTGCGTGGTGCGAAGGCTAGGGGAGAATGAAAGCTGATGGGGTGTGAGTCGAGGAGCACGCACCCTGCCCCTCACGCTGTGTCACTCACAACCCAATGGCAGCACAGCAAGCTTAGCAACCTCCTCCTCACTCTCGCACCAACCCCGCACACAGCCGGGGAAGCTCGTGCAGGCGGGCAGTGAGGAGCGCTGTGCACAAGGGGGCGAGGGGGTGGGGCAAGGGAGCGGGGGAGGCGTGGCAGGGGAGTGAGGGAGGGGGGAGTGGGGGAGGCGGGGCAGGGGAGTTGGGGAGGGGGGCAGGGGAGTGGGGGAGGGGGGGCAGGAAGCCGTCCCGTCTTCCTCCTCTTCCTCTTATTTGCCTTCTCCTGTCCGTCCACTCTCCATGCCTCCCTCCTCTCTTTCTCTCTCTTTCCCTCCTTCACTTCTCCCGTCCGCCCGTGCTCCCAGCCTCCCTCCTCCGTACCACTCTCCCACCCACTCTTTCTTTCATCCTCCTGCCTCTCTTCCACCCTGCCACTCTTCTTTTCAGACTGCCACCTTCCGAGCTTCTTTTAGTCCACCTTTCCGTCTCACCCACTTGTCCTCTCCCAACTTGATCCTCACATCCTCCCATCCCCCCTTCTCCCCTTCCACCCTCCAACCCTTGCGCTCATCCTCCCTTCGTCTCACCCTCCTTTTTTCTCATCCTCCCATCCTCCCTCTCTTCCCTCCCCCCTCCCTTCCTCCTGTCCTCCCTTCCTCCCTTCCTTTCTTCCTCTCTTCCACCCTCTGCCCTACTCTCTGCTTCAGTGTCTTTCTCCCCTCTCTTTCCCCTTTCCTCCCTCCCTTCATCTCATCCTCTCTTCCGCCCTTCCTCCTTGTCTCCCTTGCTCATTTCTCCCTCCTCATATTCCCTGTTCCCTGCGTCCCTCGCTGCCATCCTCCCTTCCTCTCAGCCTCCTCACTTCCTCTCGTCAACCATTCCTCCGCACCCTTCTACCCTGCCACGCCTATACACTCCTACCTTGTTCTAGGGGCTTGTTTCTTGTTGCCTGCCTGCCCTTGCATTGTCATTGTTTTGTATCCTTCCCCGCTGCTTCGACTCTTGGCACATTAGATTTTGTGGTTCGTGTTTGTGCAGGTCTGCCATGTATCTACGTAGCTGTGATGCCTTCACTCTTTGATGATAGTGGTATGACAAATAGCCATGCCATGTATGTTGGATGCTTCTCATGATACAACACTTTGGGCCTCGGAGCAGCCATGTACGTGAGCACGACAATGAAATGCAACAAAGCAAGAGATTTTCTTCCTTACAGTTGTCGCCAGTGGACTACAGGCACAATGCACAAATCTGGAAGGTGGTAACTTTCCATCCCACTCCTGTTGGGACCCATGGTGCTGGGCACCTGTACAAGCATGGTTCTGTGATAGAACGGGGAGGGAAGAGTGGGTATGGCGAATAAGCAAGGGCTGGAGGTTGGAGGTACAGAAGGGCATGTATAGCTGTGGAGCGAAAGGCAGTGCGGATGGTGGTGGTGCTGCTGCTGCTCGGGCTGTTGCTGTTGCTCTAGGAGTTACAACTGCTGCTACTTCTGCTGCGCCAGCTGCGCGCCTTTCTCCCTCCCCCTCCTCCTCCTCCTCCTGCTGCCGTGTCAAGAGCGGCTCCCTCAGCACGTCCCCAGCACCGCCAGCACTCGCAGATGCGGGCACATGGGGTCCCTTGCGCGCCGAGTCAGAGGAGGCACCTTGCGCAGAGGGGCGTCGCGAGGAGCAGCGCTGTGACGCTGGTGCCAGGGAGGCTGCCAGACCCACCGGGCTGCGCAGGGCGGACGCACCAGCAGCAGCACTGCCTCCGGCACCTGTGCCTGCAGCTGGAGAAACGGGAGCAGCGGCGGCAGCAGGAGCAGCAGGCGCAGCAGTGAGAGTGAGTGCAGGAGGCGGGGGCGAGGCGCCAATGGTGAAGGCAGGAGAGGGCGGGGAGAAGGTGGATTGAGAGAACACCAGCCTGGCCCTTGCAGGCGCCAGCGCGACCGCCGAGTCAGAGGAGGGGGGGATAGAGCCGGGCGGAGGGTTACCCTCCCGTGCTGCTGGAAATCCCCCCCTGCTGCTGACCGCCCATGGGGCTGCTGCTGCCCCCCATGCCTTGCACTGCAAGGAACGCACCCGACGACGCACAACCGGCGCCCATGCTGCTGCTCCCCTCCGTCGCCCAGTACGCTCCCGAGGCACCCTCCATCGCACCACCGCCACCCGTGCCCATGCCCACGAGCAAGGGCATGGCTAGCGCGCCTCCCACTCCCCCTCCCCCTCCCCCTCCGCCTCCTCCTCCGCCTCTCAGCGAGGGAGCTGACGCGGCTGATGTCTGACAGCAGAGAGTCGTAGCTCTCACTCCGCTCCAACACTCCCCGCCCCCCCCCCCGCGTGCCCTCCCTCTCCCCCTCCCTCCCCCGCCTGTCCCCCCCCAGACGCGCCTCGTCCTCGGGGAAGCTGCCCAGCATCACTGCCCGCTCCTCCCTCCCCAAGTTCCGTGCGGGGGAAGCGAAGGCTCCGCGCGGGGAAGCGAAGGCTCCGCGCGGGGGAAGCGAAGGCTCCGTGCGGGGGAAGCGAAGGCTCCGCGCAGGGGAAGCGAAGGCTCCGCGCGGGGGAAGCGAAGGCTCCGCGCGGGGGAAGCGAAGGCGACGCGCGGGGAAATCGAAGGCGACGGGGGGGAGAAGCGAAGGCGACGGGCGGGATAAGAGAAGGCAACGGTCATCCGAAAGCGAAGGCGGCGACGGGCGGGGGAAGCGAAGGCGACGGGATGGGGCCGCGAATGCGATGGGCTGCGGAAGCGAAGGCGACGACGCGGGCGATGGACAGAGGAAGCGTGGGACCCGGGTGAAGGAAAGCGAGGGCGAGGGACGGTTACGCTTGGCCGAACGTGAGGGTTATGCGAAACCTGCATTTTTACACCATATCTCATCGCACGCCGCTCAATATCCTTACGCTTCGAACTCACATTCCGCACCACACACCATCGCATCGCGCCTTGATCGCTCTAGAGTCAACGGCTACGCCCTGCCTACACGTATTCTATATTATGCCTAGTTTTAGTCTGCTGCTAGGATTGTCAAAGTGTGCACAGTTTGGTAGGCACGCTCAACTCTGGTTGTGGGAAGCACGTCATTCATCACAGGTCTTCTTCCAAGCGACACAACTTTGTTGCAAACTGGTTTCGCGAGTGAAAGGGTTTCGCAACCAAACCGAACCTCTTCCGAACCTAGTTTTTTGGCGTTGACTTCCGTTGAGTAATTCAGGTCTTGGGCTTTAAGCAGGAAGCCCTTGCATGTCACTTAGCATAGCGGAGGGGTGATGACCACGACTCAGAAAGTGCCCGTGAAATACCATCTATCAAAAGTGTCGCGACACGGCGAGCATCCCATCGCTCGCATGTTGGGGATTCCCCATCGTCGCCCAAATCGCCTCCCTTTCCCCATCACCCTCACGAATCCTTGCCCAGTCTGCTATGCACCTCCGCCCTCCCTCCGTCCATCCTTCACTTGCTTCGCTGTAGAATTTCTAGAAGCTGTTGACGTTGGCTCCATTGCCAGCATCACTACTTTCAAGTAATCTGGACGGGGGACGGGCCGTCGTTTACCTAGCCGACTATTTTCCGTCATCGCATGTTCGCCCAGCTTTACATTCAAACACCGTCACTCCAGCTCGTGTTTGAGGTAGTGCGCCGCATTTCAGAAGTACCACGTACGTCCGGACCGAAGCATAAAGCGAAGCATCTTTCACAGCCATCTCATTCAAGCGTGTGCGAAATTGACATCCCTACCCAGCTTCAGACAACCTAGCAATCGTCTCGCAGCATATAAGTGAATACTCCGGCCCAGTAGCCGCTGTTAAGTACGAAACGAGCGCTTTTCTGAGTTCACTTGACTAGTCGATATTATGGCGCAGCCAGGAAATGCAGCAGCAGCACGAGTCTCTCCTCTAACGCAGCAGCAGCAGCCGCAGCAGCAGCAGCACAGCTGCGACCGCCGCGACAGGCGCGCGCAGTCGTTAGAATCGCAGAGGAAGCGCGACAGGGCCTCTGGTTTCGACCTTGACGCCTCGTCCGAGTCTCGCGCCGCCAAGTCCGCTAGAACCGGCGCCTGCGCTTCGAGTCAACCTTCCTCCTCCTCCACTCGCCCTTCCTCCTCTCAATCGTCCCCCAGCTCCTCCTTCCCCTCGGCCTCCCTCTCGTCTCGTGCCACCGAGATTTTCGGCACGCCGACGGGTCGTCTAGAGGATTATTTTGTGCTCGAATCGGCAGTGCTGGGTTCGGGGCAGTTCGGAACGGTGCGCAGGTGCGTCGAGAAGGCGACGGGGGCGCGCTTCGCGTGCAAGACCATCTTAAAGAGTCGGTTAACCTCCGAGTCGGAACGCCACGACGTGCGGCGCGAGGTCGTGCTCATGCAGCGTCTCGCTGCGGGCGCGTCTTGCGGCGCAACTTCCGGCGCAGCTGGCGCCGCGTCTGCCACCGGGGCTGGCGTCGCCCCCGCGGGGTACAGCCCGCACGCGGGGGTGGTGCAGCTTCGCGCAGTGTTCGAAGACGACGCGGCCGTGCACATGATCATGGAGCTGTGCGACGGTGGCGAACTGTTTGACGAAATCGTGCGACGCGGGCGACTGAGCGAGCGCGACGCGGCGCAGGTTTTTAGCCAGATAGTGTCGGCTGTCGCCTTCTGCCACTCCCGCGGCGTGCTCCATCGCGACCTCAAACCCGAAAACATCCTCCTCGCGCGCTACCCCGCTTCCGCCGCCACGCCTGCCGCTGCAGGTACGCCGTCCGCCGGCGTTTCCCCCGCCGCAGCAGCCGGCGCGGGCCAGCGCGTCGTCGTCGCGAAGCTGGCGGATTTCGGGCTCGCGATTCCTCTCAAGCAGGGCGAGCGCGCGCGCGGCGTCGCCGGGTCGCCTTTCTACATCGCCCCCGAAGTCCTCCGGGGCGATTATTCCCTCGAAGCTGACGTGTGGTCCCTGGGCGTCATCCTTTACATTCTCCTCTGCGGCGCGCCGCCCTTCTGGGGCCCGACAGACAGGGACGTCTTTATGAAGGTGCTGCAAGGCGCGGTGGACATGGGCGGGGAGGCGTGGAGAGGGGTGTCGGAGGAGGCAAAGGGGTTGGTGCGGTGCCTGCTGCAGCGGGATCCCAGGAAGCGGCCACCTGCTGGGAAGATTCTGACTCACCCCTGGATTCTCCTCAACTGCCTTGGCGGGAGGATTCTCAGACAGCAGCTGGGCAAGAAACCCGCTGCTGCTGGCGCGCCTGCTGCGGTGGCTGCCGTGGCGTCGGCGAGCGGTGCTGCTGTGGCTAGTGCTGGTGCTTCTGCGGGAGTCAAAGCTCCTGCGATTCACTCAGCGACAGGAGCAGCAACAGCATCAGCGGCAGCACCACCACCACTGATTGTGACGCAGCGGCAGCAGGTAGTGCTGATAGCAGCTCCACCTGCGACTGCTAGCAGCCCATCTGGCATCCGCGTGTGAAGCACTGACTTCTGAGACGTCTCAAAAGTCATCCTTCTCGCCTGCACCTGCTCATGCCTCCCAAAAAAAGCTGTGCTGATAATCTGAATCATGCAACTGACCCTTATTGGCTTTCTGGGTCTCCTCTCCTCCTGCCGCTGCTCTTCCTCTCCCCTTCCATCCCAACTCCTTTTCCTCATCACTGCTCCTCACCCGCCTTACAGCCTGACTCCTCGACCTTATCCCTTCTCCTCTCTTCTCTGATCCTCACGGACATCAGCATGCCACGTGGCAACACAGGGGGATGCCAAGTCAAGCCTCATGAGCACAGCCAGCAGCAGCTAAACCCACCTGACCTGCACTTGATGCCTCGGTGCATTCATAGTGTCAGGGCTTGTGGGAACTGCTCGGCTACAGTATCACTGATTTACACCACCAAATATGTATTTTCTCTTGGTTGGTGTGCAGTGTTACCTGGTTACACTGTGAGGCTTGGCTTGGCATGTTACCTGCCACTGGTGCATGCTGTGTAACGGCTGCTCTATGGTGCGTGCAAGATACCACTACAGGGCGCAGTATCTGCTATGCCGCGACTACCATAGTACCGCTGGTCATCATAGGTACTTCCATGGAGGAATTTTCTACATACCGAGACGTATCTGCTAGTTCCGTACGTATTGCCGCAGGATGCGTTTGTAGTTTAACGTGTGTGCTGCACTGCTTGTGCGCAACTGTCTGTGTTGCCAATAAACTACACCAACCACGTGTAATTTTGTACCTTGAAGCACCTTCTTCGTCATCTTGCTTGCCCTGCTCAGGTACAACTTGCATCCACCTCTTTTCAATGATAGTGACAGCTTGTCAAGATAAAATGATAAGGTACACAGTGACGCAAAACCTGTGCCGTATCATATCACATACCTAGAGGCCTCACATTATGGCGTTACAATGAGATGAGATCATTCCTGGTGTACCGAATGATTTGGAGGGATTGACCTTCTCAGGGCCTGGATTTTTCACTGGTTCAAATAGAATATCTTTGCATGCACACCTGAACCCCTCATATCTTCAACTCATGCATGTTACAGCATGTTATGGGTACTTGTTCAGAACCATCATAGTTGTGTATGGACAATAATGCAACAAGGCAAAACACAATGGTTACACACAAGGCTCTCTAGACACAACCATATATGTCATGTCCCTCAACCCCGCAACCATGCTCCTCCCTCCCTTGCAGCACACAGCATGCGCTCGCCAGTGATGCCACATTCCCCCCTTTCCCTTCCACTCCCTACATCCCTGCAGACAGCCTGCGCCCTACGCTCAGACTACTCATCCTCCCTTCAAAACCTCCACCCAACATGTTTTTGGAGAGAGCTCAAGCTCAGGGCAGGCTGGCAGCTGCTAAAACGCAGGGGTTTCGGGATTTCACCCTGCCCGCCCGCCGTCCAGCACTCAGTCAAGTCAAGCCGCCAGCATGTCACAAGGTGCGCGCATTTCAACACTGCTTCAGGCAGCAACAAGCACCTCCTCCTGCGCCGGCTCCACCCAGCGGCCGTGGTCCTTGATGAGCGTCACCAGCGCGTCTGTGGCCTCCTCCATGGGGATGCCACGCTGCACCACCTCCTGTGAGAGGGAGAATAGGGTGGGGTGGGGTAGGACACGGTGGAGTGCGGTGGAATGCGGTGAATGCGGTGGAATGCAGTGGAGAGCGGTGCAATGGGCTCCACCCAGCGGCCATGGTCCTTGATGGGCGTCACTAGCGCGTCTGTGGCCTCCTCCATGGGGATGCCGCGCTGCACCACCTCCTGTGAGAGGGAGAATAGGGTGGGGTGGGGTAGGACACGGTGGAGTGCGGTGGAATGCGGTGAATGCGGTGGAATGCAGTGGAGAGTGGTGCAATGGGCTCCACCCAGCGGCCATGGTCCTTGATGAGCGTCACCAGCGCGTCTGTGGCCTCCTCCATGGGGATGCCGCGCTGCACCACCTCCTGTGAGAGGGAGAATAGGGTGGGGTGGGGTAGGACACGGTGGAGTGCGGTGGAATGCGGTGAATGCGGTGGAATGCAGTGGAGAGCGGTGCAATGGGCTCCACCCAGCGGCCATGATCCTTGATGAGCGTCACCAGCGCGTCTGTGGCCTCCTCCATGGGGATGCCGCGCTGCACCACCTCCTGTGAGAGGGAGAATAGGGTGGGGTGGGGTAGGACACGGTGGAGTGCGGTGGAATGCGGTGAATGCGGTGGAATGCAGTGGAGAGCGGTGCAATGGGCTCCACCCAGCGGCCATGGTCCTTGATGAGCGTCACCAGCGCGTCTGTGGCCTCCTCCATGGGGATGCCGCGCTGCACCACCTCCTGTGAGAGGGAGAATAGGGTGGGGTGGGGTAGGACACGGTGGAGTGCGGTGGAATGCGGTGAATGCGGTGGAATGCAGTGGAGAGCGGTGCAATGGGCTCCACCCAGCGGCCATGGTCCTTGATGAGCGTCACCAGCGCGTCTGTGGCCTCCTCCATGGGGATGCCGCGCTGCACCACCTCCTGTGAGAGGGAGAATAGGGTGGGGTGGGGTAGGACACGGTGGAGTGCGGTGGAATGCGGTGAATGCGGTGGAATGCAGTGGAGAGCGGTGCAATGGGCTCCACCCAGCAGCCATGGTCCTTGATGAGCGTCACCAGCGCGTCTGTGGCCTCCTCCATGGGGATGCCGTGCTGCACTACCTCCTGTGAGAGGGAGAATAGGGTGGGGTGGGGTAGGACACGGTGGAGTGCGGTGGAATGCGGTGAATGCGGTGGAATGCAGTGGAGAGCGGTGCAATGGGCTCCACCCAGCGGCCATGGTCCTTGATGAGCGTCACCAGCGCGTCTGTGGCCTCCTCCATGGGGATGCCGCGCTGCACCACCTCCTGTGAGAGGGAGAATAGGGTGGGGTGGGGTAGGACACGGTGGAGTGCGGTGGAATGCGGTGAATGCGGTGGAATGCAGTGGAGAGCGGTGCAATGGGCTACACCCAGCGGCCGTGGTCCTTGATGAGCGTTACCAGGGTGTCTGTCGCCTCCTCCATGGGAATGCCATGCTGCACCACCTCCTGTTGGGGGAGAGGGGGTGGGGTGGGGTGGGGTGTGGTGGGGTGGAGTGCGTTGGAGTGCAGTGAAAGGGGGTGAGATGGGGTGGAACGAGCTACACCCAGCCCTTGATGAGCGTCACCAGGGCATCTGTGGCCTCCTCCATGTTTTTTGAGAATTCTCAAAAAACATTGGCCTCCTCGATGGGGATGCCGCGCTGCACCACCTCCTGGGGATGGACGGCATGATACAGCACTGCCTGCAGACAGGACATGCCATGCCATGTGTGGAACGTCATGGGGTGGGGTGGTGTGCGATGGTGTGGGGTTTTGTTAATAGTGGAGGAGTCCCCCCATCGAGTTGAGTTCTAAAGCTCGACTCAATGCACATGTTCATGGAGGATGTTACCATTCACAATGAGACCTTGTGAGAGCAAAGACTGGAGGGGCCTGCCATGACCCAAATCAGTGCTCAGGACAGACTTGCCGCCCCACATGCCACCATCATGCCGCCCGCCGTGCCACCCACAGCCACCCCACCATTTAGAACCAGAATACCACCCAGATGCAGCCTGCCGTGCCGGCCAGCATGCCACCAAGCACAGCACACAGCCCAGCACCGCACCGCACAGCACCGCACAGCACAGCACACCCACCTTGTCGACACAATGGTCAATCTTGCCTGGTGCCCCTCCCACATAGCCATATTCCGTCTGAGATAGTACCCAAGCACACCCAAGCACACCGCATCGCACCCACCTTGCCGACATAGAGGTCGATCTTGCCTGGTGCCCCTCCCACGTAGCCAAAGTCAGCATCCGCCATCTCACCGGGGCCATTCACAATGCACCCCATGATGGCGATCTGTGGGGGATGAAGGGGGGGATAGGGACGAGGGAATGGAAGAGAGGGGGGGAGGAGAGACGAGGATGAGGGGAAGTCAGCATCGGCCATCTTGCCCGAGCCGTTCACAACGCACCCCATGATGGCGATCTTTGGGTGATGAGTAAAAGGAGTGGAGTGGGTTGGGGGAAAGAGAATGAAGAGGGGGGAAGGAGTACCAGGAAGGGAGGAAGGGAGATGGAGAATGTCACAATGCGTAGAACAGTTACAAGCAGACAACCGCACACCTATCAAACAGCGACTCGAGGAAAAGACCTCCCCCAAAAAGTAAAAAAATTCAAGGCATGCATTGCCCCTCTGGAAATAGCAAAGGCGGTTGGAGCGAGGGACTCACAGCAACGCCAGGGAGGTGGGAGGTGCGCTCGCGGATGGAAGCAGTGACCTCCTGCAGGTCAAAGAGCGTGCGGCCGCATGATGGGCACGAGACGAACTCCTGCGATGGGAAGGGGGAAGGCAGGATAGGGACGGGGCGGGGGAGGGATGAGGGGGAAAGCATGGATGGAGGCAGTCACCTCGTGCAGGTCAACGAGTGTGCAGCCGCAAGATGGGAACGACAAGAACGTTTCAACAGCGGGGATGGAGAATCGGGGGATGTGCAGCGAGGGGACAGGCAGAAGCAGGGGATTGATTCGGAGGTGATGGAGTTGAGGAGAGTGCGGAAGAGGCGACGGATGGTGAGAACGCCTGAGAATGAGAGTTGATGCGCGGCGCGGCAAGGAAATTGCAAGGCGGGCACATTTGGAAGCGCAATGGAGAGCAGTCTAGGCACAGGTGTGTCAACTCACCGTCTTGGTGTTGCGCATGCAGCAGCCCTGCAGCATCCCGAACGACGCGTGGCACTTGGAGAGGCGCACTAACGAGCGCTCTACGAGACTTATCAGGGCACCGGACAGTCAACTCACCGTCTTGGTGTTCCTCATGCGGCAGCCCTGCAGCATGCCAAAGGACGTGTTGCGCAGGAACTCCATGTCGTGGCTCGGCGCCTCCAGCAGCACTCCGTCTCCCAGCCCGTCCACCTGGTGATGCCCGCCCGGAGAGACACCAAGAGGCAGGGAGT